GCTCACACAGGGCCCTTACACAGATAGGAACCACACAGCTCACACAGGGCCCCTCACACAGATAGGACCCACACAGCTCACACAGGGCCCTTCCACAGATAGGAACCACACAGCTCACACAGGGCCCTTACACAGATAGGAACCACACAGCCCACACAGGACCCCTTACACAGATAGGAACCACACAGCTCACACAGGACCCTTACACAGATAGGAACCACACAGCTCACACAGGGCCCTTACACAGATAGGAACCACACAGCTAGGAACCACACAGCTCACACAGGGCCCTTCACAGATAGGAACCACACAGCTCACACAGGGCCCTTACACAGATAGGAACCACACAGCTCACACAGGGCCCTTACACAGATAGGAACCACACAGCTCACACAGGACCCTTACACAGATAGGAACCACACAGCTCACACAGGACCCTTACACAGATAGGAACCACACAGCTCACACAGGACCCTCACACAGATAGGAACCACACAGCTCACACAGATAGGAACCACACAGCTCACACAGGGCCCTTCCACAGATAGGAACCACACAGCTCACACAGGGCCCTTCCACAGATAGGAACCACACAGCTCACACAGGGCCCTTCCACAGATAGGAACCACACAGCTCACACAGGGCCCTTCCACAGATAGGAACCACACAGCTCACACAGGGCCCTTACACAGATAGGAACCACACAGCTCACACAGGACCCTTACACAGATAGGAACCAGACATGCATACTGCCAGGCTTCCTCAAGTCCCATCATGCTCAGGCTGTAGAACAAAGCTGTAAGGACAGAAGTTGCCTAACCCTTCACTGGAAAATCTGACATGATGGGGCTGGTGTGATGTCTTCAGGAGATGCCACCTGCGAACATTGAATGTTTTGCAGAGGAGGATCCTGCACTGTAACTAGCCAGACAAATTAACAGTCAGGTGGAATCTTCCAAAATGAGGAAGTAATTGATCTGACACTACTTCAAAATTTAAGCAAGATGTGATTAATTACAATTTAATGATTGGCGAACAGTCCGATATACTGGGGTCACTTAATGTGTAATTTGAATATATGTAAAGGCTGTGAACGGTAGAAGGACCAATGGCAGCTGCTATTGAAAAGGTTGATTAAAGGCCAACATGCAGATACATAAGATCGTAGAAAGCCCACAAACGTTAGCAGGGCCAAATGCTGCCGCTGGTAGGGATAGGCTGATGTAGGATTTAACATGCGAATGCTTAAAAGGGAAAAATACATGGAATAGCCGAACGACTGAACATTAGGGGTGCCGAGTACGGCTGCTTGGAGTGTCAGGCTGATATATGGTGCAACATGCAATTGGATAAAAAGGCCCACGAGAGTCACCTGGAAATATTGCGATACTTATGTTTTTTTGACAGGACTTGATGGAGCAGGTCTAGTTTTCTGGTAAGAGCCCAGCTGGATATAGATTGTGGCCAAATTAGGCTCGGATAAAGAGGGTACTAGGTTTGAACATTACAGTACTGTTAACATCGTAGAGGAGCCAGGCCTTGAGTCATGGTTTGATTTTTAGCACCTGCTTTAGAGCTGTAACGGGAAGTCTTAGTCTCCAAGATAACTGAATCAAATCCACAAAGGCCCAAGTAAGGGAGTTAAATATATACATACACAGTTTATAAACTGCACCTCTTCCCCCCCTGCAGACAGCCCACATCCAACCATACACACAAACAGATGTAAGGGGCCAGGGCCCTGTATTCCTAATGTTTACCAGCTGAAACCCCTGATGGTGTCCTTGATCAATAAGTTATAACAAAACCAAAACATACCACATTCTACAAGAGTTAATGGGTGCTCCAAGCACCATAACATCATAAAAGTGCAAGGAGGACCCTGGGCACAGACTTCTCTCAAGGTGTAAAGAGCAAACAATTTGTTGGATAGAGCACCTGATCACTCCACCCGGCTCCTTCCACCACAGTCCAAGGCTTGGAGCCAGATTCAGCCCTTTGGGGGGGGCTCCTAACACCACAACAATGAAGTGATGAAGGCTGAACTTGATGGATGCTTTTCAGCTATGTAACTATGTAAGCTTTTAAATAGCCTTGTACTTAATGAAATATGTAAGCTGTAACAACTAATAGGTTGACATCCTATACATATGATGCACCTGTAAATAAACTCAAATTAAGAAGTGTTATTTGAACCATTTGAGGTGCACCATGTGTACACATTAATGGCAAAACTGAAAAAAAATATAAAAATTTCCAAAAACAATTAAAAATATAAAAACTCAAATTAAAGTCCTCTTTCCTTTGATAAATTATGTAACATATGTAGAAGCAATAAGTGAGATTAAAACTATGTTTGTACACACCCACAAAACGCAGAAAGAACCTAGCAGCACATGACAAGCACATACAATAAAAAAAAAAAAATACAAAATAAAAATACAAAAATCCACAGTTTATTTTACAAAGTATTTTATTTTTTGACTGGTGCTACAAAACCATAAGAGATGTAAGACAAATTCTACTTCCAGTGCTGAAATATTGACCAATAGAGATGTTGGCCATTCTTGGCAGATACTGATAAGAGGGTATGGAAAATTTTTTGCTGTAAGAGGTCTATGGTTTAAATGGTAACAGAAGCAGTGAAAGTACATTATCTATTGGGGCATAATACGTCATGAATTGCCCCATTCCTAAAGCTAGTATTGATCAGTAGAACGATCTTCAATATTGTTGACACAATTACACTGCCCTTGTAAATATTTCGTAGGGGTAAAGCTTGTTCTGAGTAGATCAGCAATGGACCTAGACGTTATAGGTTGGTACTGGTTTACATTGTGTCCTGGTAACATTCTAATTAGAACTTTGTTGAGTTATTTGGAATTAATGAAAAATGAGAAGTAATTCTGGGTTAGTGTTCTAAAAACTAGAGAAGGGACTATAGATATTTACCACTCTGTGCCAATATTTTTAATATAACTCCTTATGTGTGTAGTTAATAGAAGCAAGCAGAAGAGTTTCCAGAGTTTGGAGAATGGAAGTTCATGGGTCTGGCAGATTCTGTAGCAGGCCAGACATGTCCACGTCTAGAAGATGAAAGGGTCGTCTAGTTTTTTATTTGTCTGATAATTAGAGAGAGATAATTCTCCACCAAATGTCTTGTAAACCTTCAGAAAAATGCAGTTATCTCCGCCAGTAGAAACCTGAAACAGAAAACTATGTAAGGAAAAACTAAGACTATGTTCTGAACCCAACAGTCCACTGTTAAAGGACATCTCCTTCTGCAATTAACCAAAGACGTATTGGGGGAACTTTTTTGCATAATAATGTCCTTTAATATTAGAGAGCTTGCATCCCACCACCCAGCATCAGATTTATTTGAGCCTTAAAATGAGATTAAACCTTCCCACAGAGAAATTACAGTGAAGGAACAAGGAGTATGTTCCATAATGTTTTAACGTTTAATAATTGGTTCTAAGGTCAGGATTTTGAGTTAAACCTGGGTGGACATGAATTAAAGTTGTTACGTTGAGCACCCAACATTCAGCTGCAAACCTCAAAAAGTTCTGGGAATCTGGATACAAACTGTGTTTGTCCTAGCCAAAGGAAAGTGAGAAGGAAGCCCTGCAAATACTCAAGCACATGCAGGTTTTCCATGTACCTGAATCTGATAGTTTATCCCATTGACCAATTGTTTTTTAAACTTTATAGCTTTGAAAATCGCATAATTTTCTCCAGCTTCCCGTTCAACCGTTGGCTTGATCTGCGAAATATAAAATTTTAGATTATTACTTCCACACAGAATGCAACAGAATGCAACAGCGTTCCAATGGATGTTAAAGCGATAGTTATATTAACATAAATGTAAGTAAAACCATGCATTAAGATGTGCAGACTGCTACACCCCCCTATACAATCTAGGGGACGACGCTCAAACACATCAGCCCCAAAAACAAGCTATATAACAATACCTAAATGCGATTCCTTTGCCATCATTCACACCCTGTCAACAACAAGAGCTCTCCTCCAGTATTAACTAAGAGGAGGTGGCCGGGGCAACATAGCAGTTACCAATGGGCAAGGCCCCAGGCCCAGATGGCTTCGCCAACTGCTATTATAAGGCGTTCAAGTCCACACTAACACCACACCTCACGAAGGCATACAACAAAGCCACCAAAAACCACCACCATAAACACTACTAGCCCATGTCACCACACTTCCCAAACCGGGAAAACCACCCACCTGTCCCAAAAACTTCCGTCTCATCTCCCTGTTAAACAGATGCAAAAATATATGCCCAGCGACTAGGACGCATACTACCACAGGTTATTCACACAGATCAAGTGGACTTTGTTAAAGGCTAACGGGGGGGGTGGGGGGGGAACAACACTAGAAAGGTGCCTGATGTCATCTATAGTGCTCAACGTATAAAGTTGGGGAGCATAGTGGTGGCACAGGATGCCGAAAAGGCCTATGACCGACTGAGCTGGAGGTTCTTGGAAGCAGTCCTCACAAAGTTCAGGCCCCCGGAGGGCTTTCTCAGTGGTCAGGACCCTAACCAAGAAACCAACAGCCCAGGTCCTCAACGCAGGGTTTGTATCAGACCCCTTCTTGATCTCCAATGGCTAACGCCAGGGATGTCCATTATCCCTGTTATTATATATACTGGCCCTGGAACCACTGGCGGCCGCTATAAGACAACACACATCAATTCACGGGATGAAGGTGGGGGATAGAGAATATAAAGCAAACTTATTCGTGGACAACATAATGTTAACGTTGACGCAACCACACATTTCCTTACCCAGCCTAGTAGCAACCATCACAGAATATGGAAAACACTCTATACACACTATATTATAAACTCAACATCTAAGACCCAAGCCATGGGGATGGGAATACAAGCGGAAACCCTAGACAGACTTACAGCTGCTTTCTCCTTTGATTGGAGATCTGACCACATCACTTTCTTGGGAACAACATCTCAACCCAACGCAAACTCATTGAAAAAAAAAAATATATACAAAACTCCACAAAGAACATTAGAAAAATGGGAGGGCAAATACCTATCTTGGGTAGGAAGGATGGCAGCAATAAAAATGATGCTGCTCCCAAAATTCCAGTATCTGCTACGTACCCTACCCATAACAGTACCAAAATCCTATCATCCATGCAGATTCTCATTGTACAGTTTGTATGGACGAGGAAGAAACCCAGAGTGGCATCCTCAATCTTGCAACAGCCTGTTAGAACAGGAGGCTTGGGGCTACCAAACATACACGCATATTACAAAACAGCACAACTGACAGCAGTTAAAGTGTCCACAGCAGAAGGGGACGCCCCACAATGAATCCGCTTGGAGGCACATTGGGCGGGAGGACAGGGACTCCTAGCTAGAGCTTGGAAATCAGAGAAGATTCCTACAGTAGGGACCCTAACCAATCAAATATCCCTAAATTGGAAGTACAAACTCATGGCCAACAAACACCTAAAACCACAGAAACACACCAGACAGGCAGGGGAACGATGGGAGGCGTTTGTAGAGCAAGAGACAAAAATTGCACCAGGGCTACAGATACAGGGTAATTCCCAGACTAAGGCCTGACAGGGAAAGCAAAAACAGAGGAGTGAGCTAGAAGACCAAGGCTAGAGCAGCGGTACAAAGACAAGATACCCTTCACAGCCGACAAGAAGTCGGCAGCGAGTTAGGTGAGCCGAGCCAATCAGCAAAGGGCAAAACCTCTTTTTTACTCTGAAGAAATCAATAGACAACTTCGAGACAAAAATATGTTCCTTTACCACAGGACCCTACTACAGAGGTAATGAGAAAAATTGAAGATGTATTGGAGATGGGCTTACGGGCGGTATTCATTGATATGGATTTATTTAAATTATTTTTTTTTATTTTTTTAGAAAAGCAATCCGAGTATCCCAATTCTATATACTTTGCCAAAAATACATAAAAGTCTACAATAACCCCCTCGACGCCGGATAGGGTTGGCAATTGATGGAGTGCGGGAACCCATAGCGCAATATCTTTTTAAAAAAAAAAAAAAACCTGTGGAAAATTTACCAACATGTATCAGAGACTCATGAATTGATCGACTTATTGAATATAAAAACACACACAAAAAAAATTCCTGATAATTTTGTACTCATGACTTTAGATGTACAAAGTTTTTATACCGCAATCCCTCACGAAGCAGGAATAGAAGCTATGAGAGAAACGTGACCAGTTCCCTCCATTGACTTTATCATGGATCTACTTATGTTGACCCTACAATTGAATTATCTCAGGTTCGAAACCAGGTGTTATATGCAGTGCTCCGGCATATCCATGGGCGCAGCAATGGTGCCCATGTATGCAAATGCATGTTTGAGGAAAAGCACATACTTAAACCATATTCAGAAAGGATCTCTAAGTATGTACGCTTCATCGATGATATTTTGATTTTGTGGAGGGGAACCACAGAAGAAGCTAAGGAGTTTGGATAAGAGATTAACAGCCTCCCTAGCCCAATCAAGATGACGGCCAACATTAATACGGAGATGATACAATATTTAGACCTAGAGATATTCATCCTCAACAATAAATGGGAATACAAACTTTTTTTGAAACCGACGGATCGGAACACCATCCTCCATGCATCAAGTGCACACCCTGAGCACATAAAAAAAAAAAAAAAAAAATCTCCCATACACCCAATTTTTATAGACATAAATTTTTATTTATTATAAGATTATTATAAGATTAGACAACATCTTGTCTCTGTATAGTGCAGACAGAAAAGATCAGAGTCATTTCCATGGAAAGTGTTACAGTTATTAGTAATTTAGGGACCATGTTTAATGTTTTATTCAGTCATATAATTAGCTCCTGTTCTCCCTAGCTCCAGTATGTTCCCATTTATTCATGTATGTACGTAGTGGGGAATTGTGATACAGCCTAGAACAAAACTAACCCCATTCAACCCCCCAATAATGACAGACCACTTAGTATGGATGAACAGGCCACAGCATTTATTATCACAAACTAAATTACTGCATAACACATCCATAACTTTATTTATTAAATCTATTCTTTCTGTAACCAAAACGTTAGACATAAATAAGCATAAATTAACATATATACATATATAACTCCACCCATAGTGTTATACAGTGACCCAACCGTCCTTGCCAATAAACATACAGTGGTTCCTAATCACCACTTCCTCTCACCTCCCCCCTCGTCATAAAATCATATCTTTCCAATGCCCGCCATCAGCCGACCTTATCCACGCTCGATGGGCACGACACCTCAGGCAACCTAATGTTAACCTTTTGAAGCAGGGGAGGTTGAGACCTTAAAAACTTGTTCATCTCATTCCATATACTTAAACGTAACCCCTCAAACTCAATTGGCAAGGACATACCCCCACCACAACCCCGCTGTTTTACATCTAAAATCAGCGGGGGACCCCACCACAACCAGCCATGGCCTGTTCCACCACTTCTAGCAGTGCCAGATTAACATAGAATAAATACTGCACCAGGAAATTAAATGACCATTCGTGATCAATCTAAAAAACACCAATAACACAACATAGTGTAAAATATATACACACACACATACATACATATACACACACATATACATAATTATATATACATACATACACATATATATATATATATATTGTTAGACTCCTCATGTAAAGCAAAACTCACAGGATTGAAAGCCGTCCCAGGCTCTATATAATATGCAGGAGGGTGCCTAAAAAGGCTAAAACGATATCCTTGAGGAGAGCAGCACAGGATACAAAATGCAGAATCCAAAATTTATTGCACAAATAAACAATTAAAACAGGGTCAATATGCAGTGTATAAATAGTAAAATATACTAGGCACAAAACCTAAATAAAACACTGCAGAGTAAACAAGAAAAAATACCAGATACAATCCTTGGATCTAGCAGCAATTGCATTTCATCTCCAGCCGGAGTCTTCCTCAGTGCACCATTAACATAGGCCTCATCCGACCTCCAGCAAGCGCACCCATCCCCTCGAGATAACTAGGCCACATCCAGCCACACCCCAAGGTGAACTGGAATCCCCCAAGCCAAAACAAGAAACCCACCTCGTCCGATTCCCGACGGCAGCGCACCAGGGCACTCACATTGCTGAGCGCACTGCCAACAGGAACAGGTGATAGCCTCAGCCCGGCCCCTGAGAACCTCTAGTAAGAAACAGAATGCGTAACATGTCCAGATTCAAGAGCACCCAGTTCCCAAACAGCCACCGAACCCAGGTCATTCCACCCAGACAGATGACAAAAAACCCCAGTACCCCTAGGAGGCGGGACAGCTGACCCAGGATGAGGAGGAGCCACACCTCCCTCATGCATCTGGCGCCAGACCACCAAACCTCCACTTCCGAAGGCGTAAGATCCAACCACTCGCCCCCCCGCCTCCTGTCCCAAATGACATGAGCATCCCACCCTCCTTATTCCGGGTGGAGGGGAGGGGGGAGAGACAGTAACCGCGGAGAGAAATCCATTTGGAGACTGGCAGGGTTAACCCAAGGAGCCTGACCCCACTATTCAGGCTCCGTGAACCAGTGGCACAAGCATGCCCAAACCGGCGGCGTCTGTAGCCGCCCCCTAACCAGACCGAAATGCCCCCTGAACTCTCCACCATCCATACCCAGGAATTCAAGCCCCAACTGGAGCACCCCAATGACATGGACGCAGGCGAGAAAACCCGGCTTCGAGAACCAAAATGGGAGAGGAGGCTGAACAACCCAGGGGCGCAATAGCCCTCACCGAAGGAAAACAGGACACATTTGGCAACCCGGCACTCCCCCCAATTGAAACGGTATATTTCCAACTAAACTGGGAACCTAGCACATCCTGTTAGGAGCCTAACCATTACCCTGTGCATTCCATCTACCTCAAGAGAAAGCAGAAAGGGCCCGGTTAGGTCAACCCCGCAACATCCAAGAACGGAACAGATTCTATTGATGAATCAACCAACCGCTACCAACTGACCTTTCCCAAGTACAACAGCTGTCGAGCGGCGAAAGCCTGAAGGAAATCCATCCCGATGCTTACTCGAGCCACCAAAACCCCTTCCCACCTGCAGATGACCGTAACAGGAACGGGAAGCCGCCAAGGAAATGCTCTCATCCGGCCCGATCGGTCACACTGTACCGTAGCTGCCCCCAGACCGCTAGACCGAGCGACCACAACTCCACTGCCTTATAATTCGGCCCCACGGAGCCCCCCACCGGAACAAGATAGAACCCCCGGGAAAAACCCCGCCTGACCAGACACCTCCACACTCAAGCAGCACCGAGCTAGGCTCTGCAACCAGGGTACCACCGGGGTAGAGGGTACTGCAACATGATATAGACAGCCTGCACCACCCCACAATTGTCACAATGGAAGAACTACCCACCTGACTGGGAGTTGGGTACCCCACGCCTACCATGCCACCAGAATGGGGAAGCTCCAAGACAGCCAGTCTGCAAGAGCCCCAATGCTTGCCAGCTTACTGAGCAAGAGACAGCACACCATGGAAAAAACCCAATTAGGCCCCAAAAAACCCCCAAACCCGCCGCAGCGGCAACAGGTGGAAGTCAGTGGGAGGGACTTAGGGGGCCTGATTGCACAAGCCACCGCTAACGGAGGCCCAAAAGGAAAACCCCATAACGCAGGGCAACACCGACAGACAAAGCCCAGCTTACCCAGGAGGGCGACATTAAGAGCACATAGCCACAGAACACTGACAGTCAGAAATATGGCCCGGAAAACAGATGGAACGACAATCGAGTAAATAAGAAATCATGCGAAATTGACCCTGCCCCTCTACAGGCACCATGCCCCAAGGTGAGAGGGGTGGTTCCCGCGGTGCGGACTTCGGGAGCACCCCAAAGTTGGTCGGGAGATAAGCCTACCAAGCTTCTTGGTAAGCCGCTCCCACACCACCCGAAGGAAGTCTCATATGGGTAGAAAGGTCCTGCTTGGAGAGCACTCATGTCCCCTATCCCGACAGATTGCCTGCATGAAAAGACCGCGGGGAACGGGATGGGCCCCCTGCAACCGGAACCCTTGTGCTGGAATGGCACAAGGACCCCATTTTCCGTCTGCAAATTCCCACTAACCCAGCTCACCCTAGGAACGACACGCGTCCCAGAGAGTGTCCTGACAGCAGAACAACGTGGAGCATACCGGGGAGCCCTCTCCCCGACACTGCTATCCATAACATAGGATGCCCTGACACACTTCTTGCGCGCATGGGTCGCAACCAATCATGGTATTTTCCTCACACACACAACCAGGAGTCCCTTCCAAGCACAGGCCCCCCGCGGCATGAGGGAACATATCACTAAGAAAAAACCCCCTCACCACTGCTCCCTTGTATTACGCGACATGCGCAAGTAAAGCAGGCCATACTAGCGCCCCCGCAGCAGCGTCGAGAGCCACCCTAACCGCCTGCCTTTTGGGAGGCAACGCCAGTGCTAGAAGCTGCGCAGGATGCTGCAGGAATCCGTACTATAACATATGAGAAATATGGATAAAAGGGGGGGGGGTTAAATAACCGGAGAGGACTCCCTGGTAAGCGGCGTCCATTTACCGTTTTCTTTATTTTATTTTTTTTACTTCTCCTTCAATTCAGGGATTCATTCAGGAGCTTTTCTTCCTTTTTTTTTTTTTAATAAATTCCCAAATTTTTACTTAATCATTTTTCCTTTTTTTACATCTCACCTTCCATTCATGTATTCAGTCAGTTCTAGTTTTTTTTTTTTTTGTGCACAAATACCCCCCCCCCAGCTCTAAAGGGGGCCCGAACGGATGCAACAAGGGACAACGCACTCACCAGCCAATGCCCGGTGCACCACCCGCGGCATAACAAGCGTAGAAGTCCAGGCAGAAGATATTGAAACCAGCTTCCACTGTTTTCTTCCAGGCGCCACCTGCTGTGCATTTCTATGAACTGCAGCCAGGACCTGTGAGAAGGGCATGGAGAGGATGTGCCACCAGGAGGCAGCCCAGATAAGTAAACAGAGAGAAGAACAGAAGGCAGAGGGAGAAGAACAGAAGGCAGAGGGAGAAGAACAGAAGGCAGAGGGAGAAGAACAGAAGGCAGAGGGAGAAGAACAGAAGGCAGAGGGAGAAGAACAGAAGGCAGAGAGAGAAGAACAGGAGGCAGAGAGAGAAGAACAGGAGGCAGAGAGAGAAGAACAGAAGGCAGAGGGAGAAGAACAGAAGGCAGAGGGAGAAGAACAGAAGGCAGAGAGAGAAGAACAGAAGGCAGAGAAGACCCAGGAACAGGTAAGAGCAGGGGAAGAGAGGAAAAGAGAGGGGGGGGAGGGGGAACATAGCGGAGAGAAACAGAGAGAGGGGAAGGGGGAAAAAACAAAACAAAAACAGATTGATGGGAACAAATAAGGGGGGAAAGAGAGAGAACAGGGGGACACCAACGGGGGGGGGGAGAGGGTTAAACCGGAAACCGAGAAGGGGGGGGGAGCTGAGAACGGGGGGGACGACCCCCGGGCGCCATCCTCACTGGCAGAGGAGGCCCGCAGGAGAGGTCCTCCCCCACCCCCAACAGCATTGGAGCAGTCCCCTCTTGGCCCTGCAGGGCCCACTCACCGCCGGGGCCTCGTCCCAGGCCCCGCCGTCGCGCCCCCCCAGAAGGCCTCCGGCCGGCCACACAAGGCGCAGGATGCACCGCCCGCCTCCCACAGATTCACGCCGGAGGCCGCAGCCCGTGATCCGGCTGCAGGATGGGGAGGCCGCAGGTCCCGCGCCGTGGGATTAGGCCGCGCATCCTCATGGCAGTTGTAGGCCGCGTGTCTGGAGCCTCAGACACGCGGCCAGGTGAAGCCTCGGGCCCGGGCTCCACCTCCTCAACCGGGCCCGAGGAGCAGCATCAGGGGGGGTAGCGGAGCCGGCGGGCGGGAATGCCGGCCTCCACCATCGCGGCCCCCAGGGGCAGGGGCCACAGGGAAGGCCCATATGGATGAAGACAGGCTGCGGGGGGGAGCACCTACACCGGCAGCCACCATGGTGGGGGGGGGGTCACAGGGAAGGCCCCAGAGGGGCCCAGGCTGCGGGGGAGAGCACCCACACCGGCAGCCACCCCAGGGGAGAGGATCCAGGAGAGGAGAGCACCTGAATCAGGAGTCGCTGGCCACCATCCACGCTGCAGCAGCTCTGAGGGAAGCCAGAAAGCCTCAACCTCCATCCCTCAAGCTGTGTCAATCTGCAGGCCCAGGCAAACAGGAGCAGGAGGACAGGAAGCTGTTTGCTGGCCCGAATCCCAAGTGGCACTGAGGTAAGACCTCCCCCACACTAACTTACACAGAACATAATCCCACCCACACATTCTTTCCCAACCAATCCCATGCATCTATCCCCACACTCCTACATGTGCCCTTGTCCGCTTAGCTGCGCTATCTCCCCAGGGCCTTTACAATAGCTTGCTGTGCATGTGATTAATTTATGACATTGAGAGCTTAATATTTGGGACACATAGTAAGCACTGTTTTTCACTTTCTATTAAGAAATTTTCTGCTGAGCACTGTCACTTTAACATATCATTTGGCACATTGAAGCACTGTCACTTTAATCATCTGTCTCGAATGGATATCGATAAGAGCCAGAATTTCTATTATGCACATTCATACAAGTTTTGAGTTAGATGTTCTGTTTCTCTATATTCATCACATTATGGTGCCTGCACACCTATAAATTCGAGCACTCTCTGCACTTGATTACTAGGTCTGATAGACTCACATTTAGTGATCAGATATGCAGCGATCACATAACTTAATATCAGCACTGATCACATTAGAAATAGGCTTTTTTTAAATATACAGTTTAAGGCAATATTTATATTGCGATTCACTTTGATAGGTGGTGTAAACAGAACGGCTGTTCTGGAGGTTTGTTTAGGCGTTGTCCTGGAAACGGACGACGAGTCATCATTGGGGAGGAGCTTAAGTCCATGCATGCGCACAGCATGCACATGGGGGGAGAGGGGCACGCCAACACACAGGTGATTGGAATGGGGTAAAAGAGTGTTCCTTATTTAGGGTCAGCATTGATATGTATGATTTATGTCCTGAGGAAAGTTCATAGTCATGAATAGTGATGTCGCGAACTTGCCGTGAACGGTTCGCCACGGTTCGCTGCGACCCGTTCGCGACGAACTCCGGTCAGCTGACACATCCCTGACAATCTCCGGCAGACCCTCCCTCCCAGACTCTCCCACCTCCTCGACAGCAACCATGTTGAAGGTGCCTTCAACATGGATGCTGTCCAGGAAGTAGGAGGGTCTGGGATGGAGGGTCGAAGGAGGGGCCGAAGGAGGACTCAGAGATAAGTCCCCATAGGGGATCGCGAGCGATCGGGTAAGTACAAAGGCCAGCTTTGGGGTTATATGCTGTCCTTATGGAACTGGCTCTAAATGAACGCCCCCCAGCCTTAAAGGGTTAAAATGAAATGTTAACTTAACCCAGAGCTGGGCATAGCTCCCTGGCTCCATTTGGGGAGGAGGAGAATGGGGAGACAATAGTTTGCTCCTTGCTGGCTCTATTACGGCCGTTAGCAACATGCAGACAGATTATTTTTCTTTAATGCACAGGTGTACTTTGAGCTCAGAGCTTATTTTGTAATGAAATAGAAGTATAGAAAAAGAAACAAAAAAAAACACGAAGACAGAAAGACGTTTAGGTCTAGCTATCCGTATTCTCCAAAAAGAGAAATATAAATGCTCAAAACTCATACAAATCTCCTGCTAAACTGGCAGTAAACGCTCCCACCCCAAGTTCCTTACATACTTAGACTTCATTTTACCACATGGCAGGAGACTTCATTTGAATTGACTCTCAAAATACTCGCCTCCTGTCATTACTAAAGTTAAGATTATAATTACACTACGTTAGCATAATTACAATTTTGTAATGTTGAATTGCTGCGGAGTTAAAGACCATGAATTGTCCCCAAATTTTCCCCACAAACCAAGGTAAGAAGTCGCTTAGTCAATGTAATCTTGAATATATCTTAAAAGGGACAGTCCAGACCCCTAAGGCAGTTTAGCTTGCGGCAGTGTTACATGAAAAATCTGTCCTCTTCATTTTACAATCCAGACTTCGATGGAAATGGTCACTATTCTAGAGTAACCTTGTTACACCCCAATGGCTGTTAGACAATTGGTCCTGTTAATTCTTGATGGATTTAACAAGAACTAGACCCAAGAGGAAGCCTGTGCTTTGCAAAGACTTCTCTGAGCTGCATTGAAAATAAAGTCTGGGCAGGGAGGACTTACAAAAGCTGCAGACATCCTTTACAATCGCTTTTTGTTAGATATATAACCCAATGAAAAAAAATAAAATAAAAATTTATAAATGTTATTAGGGGTGTGTTCAAGTAGGTATTTTTCTTTTTGTGGGCAGTGGAGTGTCCCTTTAAGATTCCAATTTGCCAAATGAAAAGGGGATCAATAACCAGTCAACTAAATTAAGTCAGCTCAGTTATTAGGCTTATTTTATTTTGATGAGGGAATAAGTGCAATGACTTGGGTCTACTGCTCAAAACCTAGTCAGTCAATAGGCTCCATTAGAACCCTTTAGGGGCAAACAGAGTTGGTGGTCTTCAGAACCACATATATATATATAAAAACAAGAATAAATGAGAATCTATTTACCCAGCACTCTGCATACATGTACGTACGTAGTGGGGAATCACGATGCAGCCTAGAACATAAACTAACCCCATTCAACCCCCCCAATAACGACAGACCACTTAGTATGGATGAACAGGCCACAGCATTTATTATCACAAACTAAATTACTGCATAACACATCCATAACTTTATTTATTAAATCTATTCTTTCTGTAATCAAAACGCTAGACATAAATAAGCATAAATTAACATATATACATATATAACTCCACACATGGTGTTATACAGTGACCCAACCGTCCTTGCCAATAAACATACAGTGGTTCCTAATCACCACTTCCTCTCACCTCCCCCCTCGTCATAAAAATCATATCTTTCCAATGCCCGCCATCAGCCGACCTTATCCACGCTCGATGGGCACGACACCTCAGGCAACCTAATGTTAACCTTTTGAAGCAGGGGAGGTTGAGACCTTAAAAACTTGTTCATCTCATTCCATATACTTAAACGTAACCACTAAAACTCAATTGGCAAGGACATACCCCCGGCTAGCTGTGACGAAATATACCAATAGGGCGGGTGGGAGGGAAGCTGTTTGCTGGCCCGAATCCCAAGTGGCACTGAGGTAAGACCTCCCCCACACTAACTTACACAGAACATAATCCCACCCACACATTCTTTCCCAACCAATCCCATGCATCTATCCCCACACTCCTACATGTGCCCTTGTCCGCTTAGCTGCGCTATCTCCCCAGGGCCTGAACAGCCAGTGGAGAAATAATTAGAGCAGATTTTATTTCAGCAAAGGATAGAACCATAAATGATGGCAGACAGAACCACGAAATATGGACAGAGCACGGCTATACCAGATCCCTAATATTACCAGTCTCTTATCTGTGTGTGTGTGTATACACACACACACACACACACACACACACGTTATTTGTATCATACTCTCCAATTACTCTTACAGTAGGTGCTCACCCTCACCCTTAACATACACACTTATAATGACTATTAGTTATACACACTTTCATATTACTCTTTAGAATAAGAACATTGTTGCTCTTATCATTACACATTTTTTACCTTGTAAATGGTTCCCATATAAGACACTTGTTTAATAGGTACCCCCCACTTCTACCATTTTACCTCGTCACAGATATCCTGTACTTCTGGTGTTGCTGGCTGTGTTTCACCAAAACCTCCAACCATCCCTGACATGATTAGACACTGATAAGAAAATCCACCCTGAAATATAGCAGACAGAATAAGACCATTTATAGCCATTGGTTTGGTCACGTGGCAGCAGTCTACGCCCTACAAACATATATCCATCTGGGTGTGCCGCACGTTTACTAACTTATCAAATTATTATTTCTTAATGACTGTTAGACAGGGATAACAAGTTTCTAGTTTAACAACATCACCAGAGGCAACCTTAGTCTGCAAAAGATCCAGCAATCTTAAAGGGACACTCCCATCACCCTTAACCCTTACAGTGTATCTTTCATAACCTGCAATAATTACCTTCCAGGGTTACGTTCTCCTCTAGTGGCTACCAGACAGCCACTAGAGGGACTTCTGGGTTCTTAGACTCCTTTTGTTGGTCTAAACGACGCTGGTTGTCCTCATGCATCTGGAAAGTGTTGAATAATGTTTTTCTACGATAAGGTCTAATGTCCATGCGGCCATTGCCACGCATGCGCTTTAGGTGTCCCTCGCCGGCGGACGTCAGCAGGTGAGGAGCGTGGGCGGAGCCTGACCCAGCACCAAAGGACATTGGCCCTGGATTCAGGTAAGTGACTGAAGGGATTTTAAGGATTCTATAGTGTCAGGAAAACGGGTTTGTTTTCCTGGCACTGGAGAATCCCTTTAAAAAGACGCTCCATGTTACATGACCCAGTCAACGTATTGCACAGCCTGTTGAAGAGTGTGGTGTCTCTGGAGGATTCAGATACCCCAAATCTGCTCTGCTAAATTCACAAAGGGAGACTCTCTGAGGGTTAATCACTAAAGTAAGAGTTCTAAAGTAGCTGAACTATTCCTTCAGTTTGAATATATTGGACTTCACACTTTAAAATAACCATGTCAGAAAATAAGGACTGTTTTTTTTAATTCTTTATTTTTGATGTGCCGAGCAAGGACAGGAATAACATATAAGACATTGTAAAGTTAGCAAAAAAAGTCACATTCAGAAAACAAGGTGTACCTAGGAAACAGCGCATTTTTTAAAGGGACTCTCCAGGCAGAGGATTTTACTCACCTGGTTCCAGCGTCGGGAGCCTCGTGAAGCCGCGCCCCCATTTCGTCAAAATGATGAAATAGGCGGGCGTGACCAGGGAGCAATCAGACATCAGACATGCGCACATACTTCATAGGGGGCCCATTACACCTGGCAGTCAGTATAGAGAGAGCCACCTCCATCTTAGCTCCCTGTCAATCATTGTTATAAGCTCCGCCCATTACACCTGGCAGTCAGCATACAGAGAGCTGCCTCCATCTTAGCTCCATGTCAATCATTGTTATAAGCTCCGCCCTTTACACCTGGCAGTCAGTATAGAGAGAGCCACCTCCATCTTAGCTCCCTGTCAATCATTGTTATAAGCTCCCCTTTACACCTGGCAGTCAGTATAGAGAGAGCCACCTCCATCTTAGCTCCCTGTCAATCATTGTTATAAGCTCCGCCCTTTACACCTGGCAGTCAGTATAGAGAGAGCCGCCTCCATCTTAGCTCCCTGTCAATCATTGTTATAAGCTCCGCCCTTTACACCTGGCAGTCAGTATAGAGAGAGCCACCTCCATCTTAGCTCCCTGTCAATCATTGTTATAAGCTCCGCCCTTTACACCTGGCAGTCAGTATAGAGAGAGCCGCCTCCATCTTAGCTCCCTGTCAGTCATTGTTATAAGCTCCGCCCATTACACCTGGCAGTCAGTATAGAGAGAGCCACCTCCATCTTAGCTCCCTGTCAATCATTGTTATAAGCTCCGCCCTTTACACCTGGCAGTCAGTATAGAGAGAGCCGCCTCCATCTTAGCTCCTGTCAATCATTGTTATAAGCTCCGCCCTTTACACCTGGCAGTCAGTATAGAGAGAGCCACCTCCATCTTAGCTCCCTGTCAATCATTGTTATAAGCTCCGCCCTTTACACCTGGCAGTCGCATAGAGAGAGCCGCCTCCATCTTAGCTCCCTGTCAATCATTGTTATAAGCTCCGCCCTTTACACCTGGCAGTCAGTATAGAGAGAGCTACCTCCATCTTAGCTCCCTGTCAATCATTGTTATAAGCTCTGCCCATTACACCTGGCAGTCAGTATAAAGAGAGCCGCCTCCATCTTAGCTCCCTGTCAATCATTGTTATAAGCTCCGCCCTTTACACCTGGCAGTCAGTATAGAGAGAGCCGCCTCCATCTTAGCTCCCTGTCAATCATTGTTATAAGCTCCTCCCTTTACACCTGGCAGTCAGTATAGAGAGAGCCGCCTCCATCTTAGCTCCCTGTCAATCATTGTTATAAGCTCCGCCCTTTACACCTGGCAGTCAGTATAGAGAGAGCCTCCTCCATCTTAGCTCCCTGTCAATCATTGTTATAAGCTCCGCCCTTTACACCTGGCAGTCAGTATAGAGAGAGCCTCCATCTTAGCTCCCTGTCAATCATTGTTATAAGCTCCGCCCATTACACCTGGCAGTCAGTATAGAGAGAGCAACCTCCATCTTAGCTCCCTGTCAATCATTGTTATAAGCTCCGCCCTTTACACCTTTCAGTCAGTATAGAGAGCCGCCTCCATCTTAGCTCCCTGTCAATCATTGTTATAAGCTCCACCCTTTACACCTGGCAGTCAGTATAGAGAGAGCCGCCTCCATCTTAGCTCCCTGTCAATCATTGTTATAAGCTCCGCCCTTTACACCTGGCAGTCAGCATAGAGAGAGCTACCTCCATCTTAGCTCCCTGTCAATCATTGTTATAAGCTCCGCCCTTTACACCTGGCAGTCAGTATAGAGAGAGCCACCTCCATCTTAGCTCCCTGTCAATCATTGTTATAAGCTCCGCCCTTTACACCTGGCAGTCAGTATAGAGAGAGCCGCCTCCATCTTAGCTCTCTGTCAATCATTGTTATAAGCTCCGCCCTTTACACCTGGCAGTCAGTATAGAGAGCAACCTCCATCTTAGCTCCCTGTTAATCATTGTTATAAGCTCCGCCCTTTACACCAGGCAGTCAGTATAGAGAGAGCCGCCTCCATCTTAGCTCCCTGTCAATCATTGTTATAAGCTCCGTCCTTTACACCTGGCAGTCAGTATAGAGAGAGCCGCCTCCATCTTAGCTCCCTGTCAATCATTGTTATAAGCTCCGCCCTTTACACCTGGCAGTCAGTATAGAGAGAGCCGCCTCCATCTTAGCTCCCTGTCAATCATTGTTATAAGCTCCGCCCTTTACACCTAGCAGTCAGTATAGAGAGAGCCAGCTCCATCTTAGCTCCCTGTCAATCATTGTTATAAACTCCGCCCTTTACACCTGGCAGTCAGTATAGAGAGAGCCGCCTCCATCTTAGCTCCCTGTCAATCTATACTGACTGCCAGGTGTAATGGGCGGGGCTTATAACAATGATTGACAGGGAGCTAAGATGGAGGCGGCTCTCTCTATACTGACTGCCAGGTGTAAAGGGCGGAGTTTATAACAATGAGAGAGCCACCTCCATCTTAGCTCCCTGTCAATCATTGTTATAAGCTCCGCCCTTTACACCTGGCAGTCAGTATAGAGAGAGCCGCCTCCATCTTAGCTCCCTGTCAATCATTGTTCAAAGCAGTCAGTATACGTAGAGATAAGAGAATAAATTAAACAATGTTTATATTTCTCTTCATTTGCATTATTTGCCTTGTCTAAACTGAATTATCATGGCATGTACTAAATATTTAATAAAAATTTTAAAGAAAACTGAGCATATTATAAAAGTAGCCAAATAGAAAAAAAAAAGTGTTTGGCTAATTTGGTCTAAAATGTTAAATTCACTTTAGTGAATAACTGTAATAAGTGATTTTTCAGTGGTGTGATTACTATAGAAGTGGCAATTCCCCTTCCTCCTCCCCACCGGAATATCCTATTCTTCTCCTCCAGACCCAACTTCACAGCTCACTACACTGAGTTTCAATGTTTTAGCACAAAATGTTTTCTACGCCAACAGGGGATGCTTCATTAGGGAGTGTTAAACTGCACAGCTTAATTATAAAATAAAGCCTTAATATGCTTTTTGCTTTTCCGGTAATACAATACTTAATCTCTGAATCAGATCATCAGACTCTTTGCTTTACACCAACAAAGAAAGATATTTATAGAAGAGGAACATTAGGTACAGCCAGGATTCCTGGTAATGATGGTGTAATATTCTGCAATAACTGGAGCACACAATACTATGTGAATCCTGTAACACTTGAATCCATGCACAGTGGAGTTTACTGGGTTACGAACAAGTTAAACAATATGAACAGAACACGAATGTGGAACAATATTATAATTTACACAATATATTTACAATATATAGCCTCCTTTAACCCCTTAAGGACACATGACATGTCTGACATGTCACGATTCCCTTTTATTCCAGAAGTTTGGTCCTTAAGGGGTTAAAGTAGAAACAGTGAGGTAGAATCTCTTCATTTGAGTTTGTGTAACCTAACCTACACAGAGCATCTAACGTGTGTGGGAGCCTGGAGTGCCCCTTTAATAATATAAACCCACCCAGTATAACTAACTGTAACCTAACCTACACAGTGCATCTAACGTGTGTGGGAGCCTGGAGTGTCCCTTTAATAATATAAACCCACCCAGTATAACTAACTGTAACCTACCTACACAGTGCACCTAACGTGTGTGGGAGCCTGGAGTGTCCCTTTAATAATATAAACCCACCCGTATAACTAACTGTAACCTAACCTACACAGTGCATCTAACGTGTGTGTGGGAGCCTCGAGTGTCCCTTTAATAATATAAACCCACCCAGTATAACTGGGTTAACTGTAACCTAACCTACACAGTGCATCTAACGTGTGTGGGAGCCTGGAGTGCCCCTTTAATAATATAAACCCACCCGTTATAACTAACTGTAACCTAACCTACACAGTGCATCTAACGTGTGTGTGGGAGCCTCGAGTGTCCCTTTAATAATATAAACCCACCCAGTATAACTGTAACCTAACAAATAGAAAACACGGACATCCGTGAAAAAAAGTGTGAAAAACACACGAAACAACAACAAAATGAAAAACTTAGCTGATAGGTACACTGCTTCCCAAGGTTATCTCCCAGCTGATAACCATATAGCAGAACTGTGTGATTGATAGGATATTTTGGGATACTGCTAGTATACCTATAATAGAGAACAAAACATAGTGCAAATATTGCTAAATGTTATAAAGCTTCCAATGATTGAAATGCACTCACATATTCCAAAAAAGGTAAGCGTATTATGGGTGCCTCCCCTCGATGGAAATAGGGGGGTTAACTCCTATTGATTTCTCCTCCTCAAGTGATAGCCAATGGAGTATCCAAGTCAG